CCCCAAAACCCCAAAACCCCAAAACCCCAAAACCCCAATAGCTCGACATCAGGTTGAATGGTGTAGATAAATTTTAATAAAATTTATTAATAAAAAGTACGGAACACTCTTATCTAACACATCTTTAGCTACATGATTCCAGAAGTTCTAAAACGAGCACAGCCATTAGAGATAGAAGGAAGATCTTTCGGGGTTACTTGTGTCAGTAAAGAAAAGTTGTACATTTCCTTCAGAAAAGTTCTGAGGGTTCTATGAGTGCTTATGGTTCTGGGATTTTCCCAAGCAAACGAGACAAAGTTAGAAAACATGACTAAAATATTGCCAAAAGGTATGGTTGATTCAAAGTAGTACAATGATAGTTTATATATTTACTAATTATCCAATATTTATTTCTCCATTGATCATTGTTTGAATTCTAACCGCAAATTTAAAAATTAAGTGACAAAATTATCGAGCTCGTTTTAATTTCCTCCCTCGAGCAAAAAGTTACCCCTGGGATTAAAATAGCAGCAAAGCTTTATGCACTCTCATTTCTTCTGGATTATTTCCAGAAAATATTTAAGAAGTGAGTAAGGCTAGGCTTTGGTCACCTTAAATATGAATTCACTTCTAGGTTTACTTAAAATGTTAACACGTGAAGCCAGCTTACTATAGCTTCTTATTACTTGTAGCTCAGAAGAGGCTATCTTTACCATAATCTCATGAAGTTTGTGCTTCTGTTTGGCAACCACAAGGTGTATGTTTTATTGTTTGCTTTAAAAAGTTCACTTCTTGCTCAATAATTTAAAATTTAGGTGAAACTCAGATGGGCTTACCCAATTGTCAAGAAGGCATTAACTCAGATAGCCAAAAAGTTAGATGAGCAAATAATACCGAATTGGATGGCAACACTGATATAAAAGCTAACGCCACATTTGTACTAGGAGGCCCTGGGAGTGGAAAAGGAACTCTGTCAACACTTTTGGCTGAAAGAGACGGGTAAGTTTGACCAATTATTCACTAGTTCAAACCGCTTACTTTTCTTATAGATACATTCATCTGTCCGTAGGCGACCTCCTCCGAGAAGAACAAGAGTCTAGTTCTGAAGAATCTGAGCTGATCAAAGAATATATTAAAGAAGGGAAACTTGTTCCTGTAGAGATACCCTGTAGACTTCTCCTAAAAGCAATGCAACAGAATGGGATGTCTAATAAATTCTTAATAGATGGCTTCCCTCGCAATCAAGAAAACTTGGATGGATGGGTGCAATACATCTCCAAGCATACTAATTTAGTCCAAGTGGTCTACTTAGATGTTTCCAAAGAAGTCATGCTCGAGAGAGTTCTCAAAAGAGGAGAGAATAGTGGTAGGACTGATGACAACCCCCAAACATTCGAGAAGAGGTACAATGTATTTAAGGAACAAACAATGAAGATTATTGATTATTTCAAAAGCAAAAACATGGTTTTCCAAATTAGCACTTACGGAAGCGTTGAGAAGAACTACTTGAAGCTTAAGAAAGGCCTTGTTGTTTAATTTTATATTTCAATCTTGCCTACCTATCTCGGGGTTTTGGGGTTTTGGGGTTTTGGGGTTTTGGGG